CCGGTTGAACAACATGTTGGCGGTCTTTGGCCGTTGGTGTGTACGTGATGCAGTCCGATTCTCACTCGAGATCCAGCATGGCTTCTGCGTTCTTCTGGAGAGGTCTCTATTTATTATAAGTCGGAAGCTCGCTGCTCACTTCTCCGGATTTCCGTCGGCCTGTGCCGCACCAATCCGCGCGTGAGGTCAAACCCCACGACAAATGCACCGTACCCATGCCAAGCCTCTAGGACCTTCACGGGGACTCTCTCCATTCTTGATCGCATGATCAACCGTCAACCCCACAGATGCTGGTGCGGAGATTGTGGGGTTGACGATGCTGCTTGCCAATTCCAGCAGCTCGGTCGCCCAAAGAGACCAGAGCCGGACCAATCATACCCTAGCAATGTTTATTGAACAGGGTTGGCATGCCCCAAGGTGACGTTGTCAAGTCTAGTTCATCTGCGAGAAAGAACTGGAAGAATCAGCAGCCTGAGAGTCTGGCTCTTTGATCAAATGAACTAACCGAAACGCACGTTTACGCCTCATGAGCTCATTAGCGGGCATCGATAAACAGGTAGTCTACATATGATAACATAGTCCGAGAATGCTTCTTCATTCTGATCCGCTACCAGTATTACCAGCTCGACATGATTAGATACGGTTCAGGACTACAAGAAGTAAAGCAACTATAATGAGATTTTTCTCAAGTCTGATATGCCATTCCGCCTAATCAAGTTGATGAACTCCTGAACCCTACTACAGCAGATCATGAAGACTCATTCAGTCCCTTAAGCCACCTCGCCAACTCCGTATGTCCCTCCTTCATCGCAAACCCAGCCGCAGTCAAGCCCGTCACCCTCTCCTTCTCCTCCACCCCGGCCCCATGCCGAATAAGCAACTCAATAAAGGCCCTGTCCCCCCGAGACGCCGCCGCATGTAGACCATTGAAATGCGGCGACCTTGGACAGCCCGGCATATCATACTCCCATGGATTAGACGGCACCGTAGCATTCACATCCATCCCTCCAATCTCCTCCAGCGCGAGTTCCATAATGGCCGACCTCACCTCGCCGTCCGCCTCCCGCGAGTTCGCGATATCTACAATCATGGACCCAGATTCATATGCTGACGGTTCGGGACCGTGCTTCATCTTTTCCGGTGGGAATATGGCCAGGAACTCGCGTGCCTGCGTAACCGACTTACACGACGCGAGGAACCTCCCGGCCGATGGCAAGTCATAATACAGACCCCTCTGAGCCAACGCGACAAGATACGCCTTCGCTATCGGTGTGCCCATGGCCGCACTGCCGTCTGTCTCCTTAGTATATATGCCCACGGCGCCGACCTGTATAGTCAGGAATTGATCCTTCTCCCCGTCGATCGGATTATGCAGCCAGCGCGAGTTGAGGATTTCTGTCCACAGGGTTATCTCATCTGACGAGTTGGTGATCGCTTTCGGTGAGTGCTGGAAGAGAGTTGTGTTGGGGTCGAGGCGGGTGTTGTACAGCACGTGACTCTCCACGGCATCGAATGTGGTCTGCAGTGGTGGGCTCGGAAAGCTTTTGATAAAGTGGGCGAAGAGGGCTGTGTGACGCCTGCAGTAGCAGACTACAAGGAGCAGGTCGGCCATTTCTGACGTGAGAGAGTTCAGGTCAAGACCAGTCTGCTGGCAGCGGCGATCGAATTCGCCAGGGTCACTGACCGTCCACGCGAGGATGGCCAATTTTTTGAACCTGGATATGTCTATACACCGCGAATAGCGTCAGCTCGGTCTCGACGCATGATGGTTCTACTAGGGACCATAATTCACCTTCCTTTTCCAGCGGAACAAAGCTCGGCTCTAGGAACCATCTCTTTACTGCTCCAGCAAACAAGTCCAGCTCCATAAAATTGGCCATCCCGTTCTTGACAGGCACATCCCACTTGTGTCTCGGGCCGTTCTTCTGCAGATGCGACAACAACCCATCCATGTACCCAGAAAGATCGAGCTCGCCGGCGGCGAACTGGGCAGCGAGACGCACGAAGCACATTTCCGTGGTATCGCTAAACTCATTCCTGACCTCGTATTCGGGCCAATCGTTGGGTAGTTCTAGTCGGACAATGGGCCCGGAGCTGTCTTGGCTCAGGGAGACGTTCATCGTGCTGCGTCGGCGTAGGCAAGCGAGAGATTATGGTTGGGATTGGTTGGGATTGGTTGGGATTGGTTGTGGTGTGAAGCAATTGAGATTGGGTTGAGCGTGCACTCATGTATCTAGATAAAGGTTCATGTTGGAGCCTGCGATGGGCGGCCTCCTGTGCCGCTCTACTGCGTCACATATTTAGCTGGGGCTTTCCGGTGTGAAGTGGAAAAGGAACCAGGCTGGGCAGCGATCCGACGGCCGCGGGCACTGCAGAAGGCGCTTGAGCTGTCTATCGCTGTGTTGTATTTCCATTTCAAAAAGCACCATGTGAATGACGAAAAGATTGGGTCTATGTTTTTGCAATTCTCAGGCAGGAAAAGCAGAAGTTCGCCGGTGAATCCGCCTTGCTACGCTAATGCCTGTTGGTGCTTCGATGTGCCTAGCATCCATCTCGGCAATAAGCTCCGAATCTTGGCAGACGTCAAGATTCTGCTGTGCTTACATGGGGTAAAGAAACAGCGTTAAGTCTTTTGACGACGGTAGGTGGACACTGGATCATCTCATCATGCTCAAGTACACAGCGTGCAGCGCTTGAAGTAGAACCGCAAGGCTAAGCCGACGTTGCAAACTTGTTTTCTCGACAACCCCGATGATATTGGTAGTTTTCGATCAGCTCACGTCAAGGATGAAGCCCCCGTCTTCACCCGTATTCCTTAGGGAGCGAATTTGCAGGCCGTCAAAAGTGGTCTCTTTCTCAAGTGTTGCCGAAGCATGTAGCAAAATTGGGTTCATGCGCGTGCATATTGAATTGAACGCAGACTACGCAAAATGCATCAAGACTCCCCTGGTCCATTGATGGATATCCCCATGTCGACGCTGAATGAAACGGCTAGATGCCTTGCAAACAAACTCCGTGATGGCCCGAAAAGAAATGAGTGTTTGGACTCCCCACATCTATTTGGGGCATCCAGTTCCCCAGCCGGTGATAGTATCGCAGCAATCAGCGTCCTGATGGAAACGAGTAAGTGATGTGGCCAGTAAAAGAGAGTTGTAGATGTGCTTACGCAAGTCGCGGAAACAGGCGTGTTAGTGCCCTGCTTCATGACTCTGCTGCAGTAGTTTGCCTTGTCATTGAGACACCAGATCTCGTTGTTGGGATTCTGTTTCTGGCAAGATTCGTTGTCCTTGCCCCAGCAGCAGTTCTCTTTCTTCCCGCTGACGTCGCACTATGATTCGTGAGTTGGTGGTCTACCAAATGGGAAACGCTATGATACATACGGTAGCAGCAAGAGCGGTTTGGACGGCCATGGCCGAAAAGATGGCGCTGATAGCAACGGAAAACTGCATTTTGAAAGATAGGTAGAAACTTTGGTGAATTTTCGTCGATGTGATGATAGACAAGGAATGTTAAGAAGCTTGAGTCTTTGAGTATAGAAGGAATGAAGTATGAGCAAGAGAAAGACTATGAAGGAGCGATCACTGTCACCTTTTATGATGTTCGACAGTTCGACGTTCGTTCAATAACATCTAGAGGTCACAAGACACATTTCCTAATTGAGCCATGGAGGCCAGCCTTTCGAGTCAGTCAGATCTTGGCACCAACTCCTGAATATTGCCCATCCGCAGAAGACGTAAGATGACACAACGAGCTGAGAATACCCCTTGGGGATTGTATGGAGGCAAGTAGACATTCTGCTCTGGCTGTGGACACAAAGGACAAGTCAAGTGTGCCCCGAACGCTGACAATTCTGCTCAGCAGTGCTATGGGAGGACCTCAAACACGGGCTGGCCGGAATATGGCTTGCACAGCGATTGGCTTGGTCTATCAATAGACAGACTGCACCTTTCTGCATGAATTCTCAGGAGAAGAGTGGCCCGTCGATCATAGCCTCGCTCGCAGTGCGATTATGTGTTTTGGTGGGCTCTTTCGGAGTCAAAGGCCGGTGGCCTCGGACTTTACATAGAGTAGGGCGTACGAAGCTGATATTTTCGCGCCTAGTCTTGGCCTTACGACATGGGAGGTGGGTTCTGTGGCTGTGATGCACGATCACACGTGCTTTGACAAAATATTTAGTGCCATCCTTCGCACTTGGTTGGATACTACGTTCTGTAAAAAGATCTGGAACGGGTAGTTAAACCTTAAAGACGGCATATCCTGATAGACTACCCTGCTGTACGTCTTGGCATACAGGCCCCTTAATACAATGCCATAGTTTCAGCGACAGGCCGACCTTCTTTACTTGGCGGCAGGCTCAAACAAAGGTGGCATGTGCTGCGGTGGGCCAGTTGGACTCGAAGCGAAAGGCCAGGCTGGGAACCAAAATTAACAGCTTGCCGAGAATACTCGTATTCAGAATCATCAAAACCTCAAGACCTGCCAGGAGACCTTCTTTGATCAATTAACCTGCTAGCAATAACTTCCAATCATCTAAATAGATCTACCACCAATGATGTCGCTTATGACGATCCTGCTAACTGGCGTTGTGGTACTGGACGGTTTGACATGTCGATATTTCCTCACTCGGGATTGGAAGCAAGAATGTAGCTGTTCATGGCATATTCTACTGGCCTGAAGTCCATATAGGAAAGTGGACATAGCCAAGGCCTGCAGCCTTTGTCTCCGTGCTGCAGGCGTGCCTCCCAGTATTTGCAGCTGTAGATCATTCCGTTTTCCCATTGAGCTTCGTCGAGTCCTTGCCTGTCTGTCGGATACCTTCTACAGTAGGTACGGAACCAAACATTGAGGGCCACACTAGTACAACATCTCGCTTCTTGCCATCGCGACAGTAACGCAGCCAGAGTCCATACGTTACGTTGATGTAGCAAGCGATGCCGGTAAACAAATGCCTTCCCATTTGTCAGCGTCTCGTCACTTTCAGGACAACTGGGTTGCAAAACTCACCACCATCCATGGCCCTCGAGAAGCACGCCCCAAGGCAAGCCAAGTTCGCGACGCCAGGCGCGCAGCTGTGAGCAAAAGATGTTGTCGAGATTCCATGTCAGGAAGCCGATTGCTATGGCGCTTAGACCACATGTAATCAGGGTCCACATGGTCTTGAGAAGGTCTACATCAAGGTGTTCAGACTTGCTTTGAGCTTTGAATTTGGGCCGTAGGATCTTCTCCATGATGTAGAGACTTCGAAACACCACTGTAGCAGTGAGAATACCGAACATGACTTGGTGGAACACCGGGTCGCCGAGATAGTGGTAGTAACCTGTGATGAAGACCGCTAAGCTGGTGACGAAGAGGCCAAGGAGAGTTTGGCCTAGGGCAGATTTGCCATGGGAAAACACTGCGAAGAAGAGGATGCATGTGGTGTATATCATAGACAGCTCGTCGAACAGTTGCATCCAGTCTGCCATCTGTCAGTTTTGTCGTAATCAGAGTCCCCAGGAGCAACGAACACTTCAAGGTGGTGTGGTAGAAGATGCTGGCCACACCGATTATCATGTAACCGATGTATGCAACGAGAAATACACCAGGGTGCTTGTTTCTGACACAGCTGGAAATTCCAACCAATGCCAAGTACACGAAAATGGCATTGGTGAACGTATTTACAACCTCGGCCACGTATGGTGAGACGTAGTAGTCCTGAGAACACTGGTCAGCTTCACCGGATACATCACCGCCCGAAGATGCATCTCCAAGAAAAGCAACGGATGATAGTGAAAGCTTACTTCCTCACACCAGTTTATGGTTGCCGTCACAGGATTCCAAACACCATCCCCAGAAGGTGGGTAGGGTATGGATGGCAATGAGAACGGCATCGCAACTCAGTATGCCGGAATGGAAAACGGAAGGGATCTGCGAAACGGACGATGCTCTTCAAAGAGAGATTCCCACAGAGTGCAGGCACTGGGCTGGCTTTGCCAAAGCCACCGTTTCAATCAACCTTCCCGGGCTTTATCAAAATAATGGCAGGCGTTGCATGCAAGCCGTTGTGTCTGTCTTGCTTCCTTAGTTTAGTCCAGGCCTTGTCATTCTCAGTGTTGCCGTTTCTCTAAGTGATGCGAATGCAACGTTGTTGCTGACGAGAGAGTGTGCGAAAGTCCCAGTGTGCACGGCATCCAGAAAAGCTGAACTGAACTTGCCACATAATTCGTTAGCAAGGCGCAGGGTATGCTTAACCGAACTGCCGAGTACGTAATCGATTTTCTGCAACATGTCTTGGCCGGGGGAGTGGGTATTTGCCCCGGCCTAATCGTGGAATGCTTTGGGGCTTGGTATCCGTAGCTCCCCGGATAGTCGAGGATCTCGGCTCCACATAGGTACCTAGTAGCCATACTTTCAACCAAGCCCCAAAATGTCAATGGCAACTCTTTTTATGATAGATCAAGAACTGCTACCTACGGAACTAAAACTTAGTATGTCTATCATAAAAGTGATCTCATGAGTCGCGCATAGCTGGAGATGAAACACGACAGTTACAGCGCCACCTGCCGAGACTGCTCAGACTGTTAGATTAGCAATGAATCGTCTTGTTGCTTGCATCGTGTGTGAAGAAGAAGAAGGTTTATGGACGAGCAGCAAGGCGAAATTCCTTGGTGTTGCTAATGTCGGCTCTTCCCCATCTTCTCGACGGGGAATGCGATACGTAGGGAACTTGGCAAGTGCAACCCTGGACGAGCTTCTAACATTGTCGGAGTCCGTACAGGACCCCGATCAGTTTGAAATAGCTGAGTATCTTCTACGGCGATGGAATAGGGGTGATCGAGCAGACAGCAATGGCCACTTGTATCAGTTATTCTTGCACCAGCTCTGTTGTGTTATTTTGAAAACAGCCCGTAATTATAGCTCAAACGCTCTCTTTCGCAGTAACCCAACCACCTGATTAATAGAATTTGAGGTGTTTGAAAGGTCTCTTGTCCCTCTGGGCCTTTGTAGTATTCTTTAGGTTGAAATAAGTGCAACCTCCTGTCGCTGGCGTGACTCGCCTGTCAAGCGCTATTAGCATCCGGGCTTTCGGTAGATGCATCACAAATCTGGTTCAAGTATAGGTGAGATCAGGCCCTTAGAGTACGAGAAAGTCCAAAGTGCCGTTTCGACATATATGCCCTGTCGCAGCTTTTGGACATCATCACTCTAGTATCTATCTTCACTTGTGAGTTCGCCCCGAGCCTGAGTGATGGAAGATTTCATGTATGGACAACTAGGATGATAGATTTGAACCGCCCGTCTGATGCAAGTCGCCTGAGACTACAGAAAATACGGATGAAGCTTGTTAGTAGACTACCAGCCGTATAATTTGGGTCTGGAATATCTAAACCAAGGTTCAGTCTCAATCAGCTCTTTCTTTTCTGCATTTGTTCTGTAATCCCGATGCAGAGTCTTGATATGATTTGGGTTCTAGCCCGGTCGTTCGAGCTCCCTGTCAAACCAAGCCATGTTTATCTACTTCTACCATTGTAATGAAACTTATTTGAGACCATCTCGACTGGATATGGAAAGCCTCGCATGACTTGAGTGTATCTGGAGTATGATGACGGAAGCTGAGAACAGCAGCTACTAGTGGATAGCTAATAAAAAACTGCGTTCAAACATCAGGTCCAAAGTGATGCCGCTTCGAGCTTATTCAGCAATTATCTATTCCCTTAACATCAGTCCCCAATCGCTATCCACGAGACATCGCAAAACAATGGCCCCGATTCCGCCCAGACGGACGCGACAACAGTGAAGCCCGTCACGTCAGCCTCCCTTACTAGCAGTTGTATTCTGTACTTTCCGCATCTCGACGCATCCAAAGAACGCAAGTTTACTGTTACCAACGGAATCGACTTGAACGTTTTTATGAAGTTCACACGCTCTGACTCTCTAGTCCCCAGTACAATTAGCTTGCCGGCCAGGTCATGTTGGTGGTCTATATTGTTCCAAGAACCCCTTTCAACCACAACTGTCCGCTCTGAGGCTTGTAAGGAAAGCTGCTCAACTTTCTGCGACAAAGCGGCTAGTTGACTTGCGAGCCTACTTATGACGTTCTCGTCGTTCCCGCTGTTTCCAGGTTGAATGGAGGCTGCATCGTCCGTTCCCGAGCTATCTTTTCCTGAACCGCTTGCGCAGGAGCCACCCGAACTAGGGCCCCCGTTGTTGAAAACGTTGACTATCACTTGGGAACGGGATATGAGACATTTTTTCGACTTCTCGCGGATTGACATTTGGCATCCGTCTTGCGGTGATAAGCTTGCTTGGTCGACAGATTCCAAGGGAGTCGCTGACCCGACAGAAGTGTCATCCTCGGGCCACTTGAATTGAATGTTTCCTGAAGAGTTTGCATGCGTCATATTTTGTGACAATTTTGAAAACGAACTCGTCGATTTGTGGGATTGCTGCGAATAGGTGTATTGCGTAGTGATGTGTTCTTCTTGTTATCAGTGTATGTTTCATTATATTAAAGAAATCCTATGGACGTGCTCACCTGAGGCGATCTGCCGGGTTGTAGCTCAACTGGGAGATTCCTGATTGAGTCTAAGGAGATTCCAGACTTGAAGAATGAGCAAAGTATACCCAAGGTGCCGGATTCTATGACCATTAAACATAGTATTAGATTAAGGTAGAGTTCCGACTCCACGTCTGACGACAGTCAGCACAAGAACCTTATCTTAGGCTTCAGACTGCCCTCCAGCTTGGGACCGCATGTTGCAGCAAAATAATCTTTTGACCTGCACAACCTTCACTGGGATTAATATGATCACGAAAGCTGGCGGAGTCCCCGCCACCGTAATGACGCCAAGAGTGACTCATTATAGTATGGACTCTGGCACAATGAAGTCCCCAGTATCAAGTTCAAACCAAACCACACATCCAGCGCCACTCGGACAACCGCCCGCGATACTTGTGAATGCGGCGACGAAGGGGACGGCTCCATGCCTCCCTACTGAGTTGGAACCTTCACTCGCATGTTAAACCTTCTCTTATGACAACTTAGTCTACTTTGTTTGTCTGCAGATGTTGCTTCTATGCAGGTGTGTCAATTCTGGGTTTCTAGCTAAGCCTCTCATATCGCGAGATGCAGAAAGTGGCTGGCTCGTAACTGTGCGAGGAATTGAATGATTGGGGAACACCGATCAAATAAGTTTCTTCCTTCCACTTCCACTTATTTTCCGGTGTTCAAGAATAAACATCGTAGTTTTGATCACGTATTTAATACATGGAGAAGCGATTCCGTACGCAAAAAGCTAGGGACTCAATGCGTAGGAGCTGGTTGAGCTGGAAAGACGTCAGAACGACACATTTCAAACAAGGCCACCTTTAGCTAGAGGAGACGCCATGAAGTTCAGGGAACTTATTGAACACACATCACACGTTAGGCCTCTTCTTCGTGACAAATATGAAATTATCAGTCCTCAGAAAATTGTGTGAAATGCTACATTCCTGTAGGTAGTTTTAGGCCCCCCTGCGAGTAATACTCTATACACTCACAACACTTAGATGCATATTCCCACAATCAGAGCCCCATTCTGCGTGAAACATAGTTCCAAGCTTAGCGCACTGTCTTGACTCGTATACGTACGCAAATAATATGTACGTGTACATAGTACGTCCCTCAGAATGTCGGTCTGGGAACCACATGTACTCCCCACATGCCCCATAACCCCCGAACTCTAAATCTGTCTTCGCGCGTGTGGAATCTTTGCCTTGGAATTGGGGCGTTGGCAACCCGCGCGTGGCGTAGGGGGTGAGGGGGAAGCATATGCCCCATGGGCCGATGTGACAGGAGAAGTGGGTTGAGGTGGATTACATAGAATGGGATAGGCACTACAACAGTAACGCGCTTATTATATTCTCCCAGCCGCCAGCTCCATCGACGTCCGATTCTCATGCATCACCTCGGCGCTACTTTCACCTGGTCGACTCATCAGAGATAAGCAGGATCCACACAACCTTTGACTTGCAATGCTGGGCTCGTCAGACCTCGAATGCCCGCCATGAACCTCCCAGCCTGGCTCTTAGTATGTGTGTGCACCTTGCGCGTAGCTAGAGGAGCACCAACCTCGAGTGCAAGCTTTGACATCAACGCGGATTGGGTGTCTTGGGATGATGCTGCATGGACTCTGAAATCTACCAAGCCACTGCCAGGGGTATTCACTGCATGGTTGCCACAGTCAAATGGGTATGTAAACTATAATCTTTCAACATCATGGGTGTCGACGGCGCAGTTCGCTCCTGTTGTGCTGTGTACGGGAGCTGATACGTAAATGATATGTCTTGAATAGCTATTTTGGCCTCGCCCAAGGTTCTCTGGGGCCATTCTATGAGCGAAGCCGTCGAAATGATTCTGAAGGATGGCCGTCTTACAGCAAGCCTCGAACAACTTTCGCCACTGTCACGGGCTTTTGGGGCAGCAAGCCTAGTACACTTGAGCCCGGGGAGCTGGGCGAGAGTTTCATCTCCGGTGTACCTCACTTTACCGATCTGCTCGTTGAAGCATGTGGAAGTGTCCTCAATGGAGATGTAGACGTATCCGAGATCACCGAGTTCGAGTCGACGCTGTCTTTGTAAGTGAGCGTGGGCGCACAGGCTGTTCCACGAAGCAGAAGAGTATGGGCACTAATCTGATATACCTTCTACCAGTAAGACGGGAATACTCACATGGTCGTATGTCTGGAGCCCTCCAACCTGCGCAGACGACCGGAAATTTCGGGTATCCTACGAATCTTTCGCCTCGCTAGCAGAAAGACGTCTGGCAGCTGTGAAACTGGTCATATCCAGCGAGCAGGGCCTCGACGGCGTGTACATTCTCGATACACTAGACAACAAGTCAGCTTTGCGC